TCTAAGGAACATTCTGGCTATACTTCTTCCGACACAGATTTGTCTTTCTAGCAGTCCATGGCACTTTTCAATATTCTTTGCCAACACCATAGTTTAAATGCATCAACTCTTCTTTTTCTGAGTCATTGTGTCGAGGGCTGATTTTCAGTGCACTGTTTCCAGAGAACTGCTCTGAAATGTACTAAACCCCAACCCCAAATAGGTTATTTCCAATGGCTTAACACCAGGCTCCCATGAATGTGTGGTATATTATGGGCAAGGGGAAGCTGCTTTTTCAGCTGTGGCCCGTTTCCTGGAGTGAGGGGTATGCCACATTGGACCCTAGTCCCATTTATGCTACGTTATTGTTAAGTGCCTTTGAGTCGGTTTCAACTCATAGCAACCTTGTATAAGGTTTCTCAGGAGCTGATGGTAGGTTTGAACCATCCACTTCGTGGTTAGTAGTCTAGTGCTTACCCTGAAATGCTACATCAAGACTCCATATATGCTATTGTTGTTGCTAAATGCCATTGAGTCGGTTGTGACTCATAGCGACCCTGTTTAGGATTTCTGAAGAGTGGATGGTGGATTTGAACTGCTGACTTTGTGTTTAGCAGTACAGTGCTTAGTCTACATACAGCTCCACAACAGGATTAGCCCCTATTTTTCTTCCATGTTCTGTATAATTTTAGGTTTTACATTTATGACTTTGATTCATCTTGAGTTAGTTTTTGTAGGGTATAAAGTATGGATCCTGTATCATTTTTCTGCAAATGGGTGTATCTAGTTGTCCAGCACCATTTGTTAATGAGTTTTGGTCCCTGTGTCAAATCTCAGCTGTCCAAAGATGGTTGGATTTACTTCTGGTTCTCAATTCTGTTCCATTGGTCTCCGTGTCTGTCATTGTACCGGCTGTTTTGACTATTGTGGCTCTACTTAGATCAGGAAGTGTGAGGTTTCCTACCTTGTTCTTCTTCAGCAGTGCTTTGCTTATTCCGGGTTTCTTTCTTTTTCATATGAAGCTGGTGATTAGTTTTTTCCATCTCTTTAAAAAATGGTATTGGAATCTGTATTGGGATTGCATTATGTCTGTAGATTGCTTTGGGTGGTATTGACATTTCACAACGTTAAGTCCTCCTATCCATGACCACGATGTATTCTTCTATTTATGTAGTTCTCTTTTGACTTCTTGCAGTAGTGTTTTCTAGTGTTTTTTTGCAAAAATATTTTATATTCTCCGTTAAAGTTTATTCCTAAGTATTTCATCTTTTTGGTGGCTATTGTAAATGATGATTTCATTTTTTAAAATGAAATTAAGGTTATAATTTTGTTCCTCTGTAGTTTAATTGAAATTATATTGTAAGCATTTCCCAGAGTTAGAAAACTTTTTCGAAGTCTTCATTTTAAAGGCTATATTGTTATTGTTAAGTGCCATCAAGTTGGTATAATAGTTTACTTTAAGATATACCATATTTCAGCAAGCCATCAAGGCACGCAATCAAGTCTCTTCAGGACAAACCCCTCTTCAAGACTGAAACTCAGAGGGATCACACGAGCAGGTATGTAAGCTTGCTAGTGACCGTGTTGGTCTACTGGTAAGTGGAAGTGGGGGAAAGGCAATGATGAAGCTATGGGCTGAGTTCCATAGACTCCATAGACAGAGAACAGAAGAATGGCTGGTTGGTCCGAAGTATGGTGAGACCTGGGACTCCTGAGCCCATGGACAAGGACATAGCCACAGAGGGCGGCTAGAGCTGAGAGTGAAGCGCCCAGCTGACATGAAGTGAGGGGAGACTCACAAGAACACCCAGACTTGCAGATAATACCCATTTGACCTAGCTTCGATGGCTTGATGATCAGAACTTGACTGTTGTTGTTAGGAGCCATTGAGTTGGTACTAACTTACAGCGACCCTATGCACATCAGAATGAAACACTGCCCGGTCCTGGGCCAAACTCACAATTGTTGCCACACTTGAGCCCATTTATGCTGCGACTTTCCCAGTCCATCTCGCTGGGGTCTTCCTCTTTTTCTCTGACCCTCCACCTTACCAAACATGATATCCTTTTCCAGTGACTGGTCCCTCCTGGCAATATGTCCAAAGTATGAGAGACGAAGTTTGGCCATCCTGGCCTCCAAGGAGCACCCTGGCTGTACTTCTTCCAACATAGATCTGTTGGTTCTTTTGGCAGCCCATGAAACTTTCAATATTCTCCTCCCACACCATAACTCAAAAGCATCAATTCTTCTGCAGTCTTCCTTATTCACTTTCCAGCTTTTGCATGCACATGAGGTTATTGAAAATACCATAGCTTGGGTCAGGTGCATCTTAGTCCTCAAAAGATAAAAAAATTTTGATAAAGGAAATAAGTGTAATTTGCTACAATTTGATGGACTTGACCTATACTTACGGATATAGTAGCTCAAAATACCAACTGAGAGGGAAGAAGTCTTCACATCAAGGATCAATCCTATCCCCTCTATACACAGGGTTGATAGGGATGGGCAACTTAGACATTGGCTACCTAAAATGGGGGCCTATAAAGGCATGAAGTGACTGGCTTACAAGTTTTCAAGAGAGAGTTTAGTTTCAGAGTGTGTGGGGGAAGGTAGAATCCCCACTGAATAGTTTTCATCATGTCTAAATGGGTCTGGTGAAAGGAAATGGGGATAAGATTCTTATGATTCAATAGTGAATAATTATTATGACCAGTTGCGATGGTCACAACTGAAAAGGTAGAAGTTTTGTAACAAAAAGCAGGGAGTAGTTAATCTTACAGTCCAGGAACAGAGGACCATAGGATCAACAAGGGAGAAGAGCATGAGCGGAATGCGGGACAGTGTCCAGAGAAGCAGCGATACCAGAGCTGGAGGTAGAGATGAGGACATGGAGAGATAGACCAGCTGAGGACTCTAGGCTCATGGAAAGAGGAAGGCTGTGTGCTGGTGGCCAGGAGTCAGGCTTGTAGAATGTGCCCTTTGATTGTTTAACTTATTTATTCCTGAGTGTTTTTGTGTACATCAAAAAAACAAAACAAAAACAAAAACACAAGGAATAGAAGCAAATACTGTTGGATGACGATGCATGGAGGGGATTGTCACCATTGCAGTGAAATAAAATATGATATAGGATAAGTATAAAACTGATGTTCTCCCATGGAAACTATCTCTCAATTCACAAGAAAAACTTAAAAAACAAAACAAAACAAAACATTTTCTTAAACCACATGTTTTCCAGTTTTGATATTATTTACAACTATCAAAAAGGTTATTCTTTGATGATGCGTGAAGGGGATTGTAACCATGGCAATGAAACGATACATGATAGGATGAATGTAAAACTAATGTTCTCCCATGTAAACTATCACATAATTCACAATAAAACATTGAAAAAAAAAAACAGGAAATAAAAAAAAAAAAGCTTATTCCTTAAGACAGTCTCAGAAATAGAATTAACTTGGCTCAAGAGTATGCTTGTTTTTCAGGATCTTTAATGCCAGACACCCTCCAGAAGGCCTTACTAGTTTGCAGTCCCAGTATTAGTACATGAGGGTGTCATACAGTCATTTGCATGGACTGGGCCTTGAGTCCAAAGCATACACATGTCATAGTTTCTACTTTCTCTTTATCATTTTGAATTTCTTTTAAAAGTAGAAATATAGTTACTTCTTCAGAGTGGATTTTTATCTGACTCTTTATGTCCTGAAATAAATTGTTGAATCTTTGTGGAAAAGAGAAGAAAGTTTGTTTCTCAGATTGAAGTGAAGAGACTTTTGGAGACCTTGTTCTGGATATTATGTATTCTCTATAAGGGGTATCTGTGGACCTTTAATACGAGTAAAACTGAAGAATAGCCAGAGAGTGGCATGCCACATTGGGATTCAGTCTTTTGAAAGTGGTTAAAAAAAAAAAAGTGTGTGCATGTGTATGTGTGTATATATATGTATATGAGTATGTATATACACACACATATACATATATAGGAGTCCTGGTGTGGCACTGTAAGATAAGCACTGGACTGCAAGGTTGGTTTGAACCACAAGGTCGGTGGTTCAAACTCACCAGTCACTCCTCAGAAACTGTATAGGGTCACGATGAGTCGGAACTGACTCAACGGCACTTAATGACATAGCTAGACAGGCAGACATTGAAGGTATTTCCTCTTTTTTGGCCGGTCCCGTGGGGCTGATATTTTCCCAGTTAGAATGTCAAGATAGCATGGTAACTCTGTCCATGGGGAAGACTGAAACATTGAAAAATACAATGAAAGCAAGCACTGTAAACCAGAATGCATGATTTTTCATCTTATGCCGTGCACAGATTAGGATGTTTCATTTCTTTCACACCTCATTTGCCCTTGTGCGTGCTAGATCGTATTAATTAATTGAATAAATGAATTCATAGACGAGTAAATGAAAGATAAATGGGTCTGCATACATGGATATTCAAATAAAGGTAGGTTATGAAGAAGAAATGTTTCATGTTCAGCATTACTCATACTATATTCAGAAAATTCAAACAACAAGGAAAGCATTGCCATGGAGGCCATTTAGACTCACAGCAATCCTGGAGGACAGAGTGGAACTGCACCCCAGTGTTTCCACCAGGGCGCCTTCATGCTGCATTGTGAAGATCTCATTGTTTTTTTGGAAAAGTTTTAATAAGTCAGACTTTTCTAGGATGTATGTATATATATGTGTGTGTGTGTGCTCTTGTTGGCTAGCTGCTGATAAGAAAAGTCACAATAGTTTTCGATCCATAAAACTTAGGTCAACAAGAACCTAACATCAGTGCTTTGAAAAGTAAGTCAGCTTCTAGAATTTTAATTTGTTTTTAATCAGCTTTTCCCTAGCTACTGAAGTAAAACTTGAATTAAGTTGTAAACGCCCCTTGCTGGGTAAGAATGGAAAAAAGAGTAGAAAATCCAAAATTTGAGCTTTCAGCAGTCACAAGTCCTATTAGGGTACTATTAACAGCTAAACTAATTGGTATCCTTAAATTCCCATGTGTGTTTTCCACAGGGAGCTTTCCCAGCTCGTTTGAAGAAGGTGCTGATCGTGGGAGCACCCATATGGTTCAGAGTGCCCTATTCTATCATCAGCCTTCTACTCAAGGATAAAGTCCGGGAGAGGGTAAGGCAAGCTAACACAGCAGATTTATAGGTAGAAAGATACATCTTTTGCTCTGCTCTCAAAATTTTGCTAATTTTTTCTCTTCAAAAATATGTTCCTTCTCCCCTCGAGTTCTTTCTGCTTCTGTTAGTGTATTTGCTCAGATTCTCAGCTTTACTCAGTAGTCAGCCTGGAGCAGGCTGCTTCTCTCTCTGTACTACAGGCTTCTGGACGTTGGAAGCTGGACGTGGTTTGTTTGACTCTCGTCCATCAGAGTCCTTTACATAACTGTCATTGTTGTCATTGTTGCTTAGTGCTGTCGAGTTGGTTCCGACTCATAGCGACCCTGTATGAGGTTTCCACCTAGCGACTGGAAACTGACCTGTGGTCCACTGCCATTCCAGGACTCCCATATGACGACAGTACTGAAGTAATGTGTCCCATTGGCAGCTGGTTGTTAGGTGATACAGAGTCAATTCCGGCTTTTAGTAACCCAGGGACAACAGAACAAAACACTGCCCAGTCCTGTGCCCCCCTCATGGTTGTTGCTGTATGTTAGACTTTTGTTGCAGCCACTATGTCAGTCCAGCTCACTGAAGGTCTTCCTCTTTTTTGCTGACCATACTAACTGTCCCATGCACAATGTCTTTCTTCAGGGAATGGTCCCTCCTGATAACATATACAAATTTCGTGAGACCAAGTCTTGCCATCCTTGCTTCTAGGGATGGTTATTACTTCCAAAATGCAGGCCTTTAAGATTTTAAAACTTTTACTGTAATTGCGTTTGTTGAACTTGCCTTTTAATTTGTTCAACTGGAAATTACATTCAATCCCTTTGACAACCAGGGTTGAGGAGAGAGTTTCTCCCTCTCTGTTTTCTCCCTTTTTTCTTAGAATTTTATCTAAGACGGCTGATTGTTTTCCATCTTCAGAAAGTATTGATCAAAATATATCATAATCCCACTGAGAATTCTAAGTCTGAAAGATGTTGTTGTTGTTAATTGCCATTGAGTCAGTTTGGACTCATACCAACCCTATATAGGGTTTGTGAGGCTTTAAATTTGTGCAGAAATAGAAAGCTTCATCTTTCTTCCATGCAGTGGCTAGTGGGCTCGAAGCACCAACCTTGTGGTCCTCAGTCCAGTACTTATCCTATGTTGCCACTGAGCTCCACAAATTGATTGCACCCCTTAAAAGAAAGGGTGTACATACGCATCACCGTTGGGGAGAAATGGGTAAAGACAGCAATGAAGCGGCGAGCTAAGCCTCACAATATTCAGAGGGCTTCTGTGGACCCGGTTGGGGACCTGGTTGGCAAGCAGTGCGAGGAGACCCAAGGACTCCTGGGCCCAGAGTCAATGACGTGGCCACGGAGGACTCAAGTGGAGAATGGAGCTGCCGGCTGATGGGAAGAGAGGCCATGTGCACAAGAACACCCACACTTGTAGATGACACTCACGTGACCGGGACTGGGTGATCAGAGCTCAACCAGGAGAAGAAAGAAGGTGGGGGTGGGGGGGAGATTGAACTGATCCAAGCTGATGAACTTGACCTATGCATACGAATGCAGTGACACAAAAGAGGTGATAAATCCTTACAGCAAGAAACATTCCCACCCCCTCCACACAGAGTAGACATAGAGGGGCAACTTGGACATTGGATACCCAAATGGGGAGGGAGGGACTACAAAGGCAAGAGGTAACTGGCTTACAAGCTTTCAAGAGGGAACCTAGAGCTAGAGGGCATGGAGGAAGGCAGAATCACCAGTGAGTACTATCCAATTTGTCTAGGTGGAGCTGATGAAATGAAATACAGATGGGTTACGTGCGATACTGTAGTGAATAATGGTTATCAAGATGGATTGTGAGTGTTGGAAATGCAAGGGTAGAAGTTTTGTAGCAAGGAAGAGAGCGATTATTTCTCCAGTCTAGGAGCGGAGGTCTCTGGGACCACCAACAGATAAGAGCCAAGAACGGGACCCCACCCAGAGAACCGGGGATGCCTGAGATGGAAACAGAGATGATGACAAGGAGGGATGAAGCTGCTGGGGAGTTTGGACCCAGAGAGGGAAAGGAACTGTGGGTCGAAGACTGAGGGGGGAAGAGGGAGGTAGAGCACGGGCTTATAGGATATGCCCTTTGCTTGGAAGACAAGGCGTGGAGGGGATTGGAACCATGGCAATGGAATGATATACGATGGAATGAATATGCAACTGAGGTTCTCGCATGTAAACTATCATATAATTCACAATAAAACATTAAAAAAAAAAAAAGAAAGGGTGTACAAGACGTTGACACATAGGGTAAAATAATGAAGTTGTTCTTTTGAAATGTTATTATCATAGATTTTTGTGGTAGGGGATTATTAAGTTATATGAATAATAATGCAGATCTTTAAAGCTGAGGTGACTTAGGTGGGAGAGGAGAAAGTGAGGTGTCTAGTTCTAATGGAAGCTACTTAGGGACACAGTGATGAGATATTTTACTAGTAAAGATAATTCTTTGAGAGGGCTCCTTAGGCAGATTCTCACACCTGGATTATAGATAATACACTTGCATGTATGAGGGGGCTTCAAAAAGTTCATGGAAAAATGGAATAAAAAGATAATAGATTTTTTCCACAAACGTTTTGAAGCCCCCGACTATAAACTCAAACTATATTGAGTATCTCTTCTAGTCCAGACACTGAGTTGAGCGTCAGGAATTGACAATTGAGTGAGGCATTCCTTCCCCTTGAAGAGCTAATGGTCCTTCTAGTGAGCCCAGGGATTGACATGGACAAAGTTTTGTGAAAACATAGAAGAAGTTACTGGGAGGACTATACAGAAGAGGTGAGTTATAAGTTAGTCCTTGAAGATTCACAGGAGGAAAGGGGGACATTTTCGGAAGAGGTGACAGCGAAAGAAACAAGCTCTTAGGAGGATCAGCATTCCCATTACACAATGGAGAAAAGAGATTCCAAGAAGGACCAATGAGGCCAATTTGGTGTAACCTGGCTGTGCCAAAGCAGAAGCAAAATTTTGGTATTATGGTTACTTATCTAACTATTTTCTGAGTGGCTGGTATTGTCTTGCTTTCATCGAAACCTTGAGAACACACCCATACTGAGCTGTGATTAAAACATAGGCCTAGACTTGGCTGCATTAGTATGGCGTTGACAAAAATTGTCACTACCTGTGCATTTATGGTGGTCAGAAGGAAAGATCAGTATGAGATGGTGCAGGGAAAGCTTATTAGTAATATAAAGACTTGGTTCACTGTGCTTTCCTTGTAGAAGGTATATAACAGATTCCAAGTGAATCTGATACACATTCAGGGAAGTCAGGGCTGTGGCTGGGACTAGGGCTTTGTCTTAGGCTGGGTTCTACAGAGAAACAACACTAGTGAAACATATATAGAAATATATGAGGGGGTTTATTATCTTTTAGCAGCATTTTTCCACAAACTTTTTGAAACCCACTTGTACGTAGATTTATTTCAAAGGAATGGCACATGCAGTTATGGAGGCTGGCAAGTCTGAAATCTGTAGGTCACTCTTCTGGCTGCAGGCTTCTCCTGTCTCACCTGATTGTAGGGGCTCACAAACCTAAAATCTGCGTGTCAGGTAGAAGACTTCCGGCTCACGGGTTTGCAGGAGCTGATGAATCCCAAATCCTGCAGGTCAGGCACCAGTTAGCTGGCACTTGTCCCAAGAACCAGAGGTCAGAGGATGAAAAGTTGGATGCACGATCAAGAAAGAGTCTGCTGTGGCTGAACATCCATGCATATTGAATGCAGACCATGCCTCCAAGTAAACTCTCCTTGATTGGCTATTCACATCAGATCACAAAATGGGAGAATGGTTACATAATCTCTGCCAAAGAATCATGGTCTAGCCAAGTTAACACATAACATTAACCATCACAGGCTTCAATCACAGATAAATGAAATGTAGTCAGTCTACTAACCATACATTGCGTTTCAAGAAAATCGCATCCTGTTCTCCAATCCAATAAGCTTGGTTCTCCTTTATTTTCACTATCTTGGGGATTCTGTCTCTCGCCACTCCCATATTCACATGTTCTTTCTGGCCTTCTAGATTCAAATATTGAAGACATCTGAGGTCACCCAGCACTTACCCAGGGAGTGCCTTCCTGAAAACCTGGGTGGGTACGTCAAAATTGACCTCGCCAGTTGGAATTTCCAGTTTCTACCCCAGGTGAACGGCCACCCAGACCCCTTCGATGAGATCATCCTGTTCTCCCTCCCTCCTGCCTTAGACTGGGACTCAGTGCATGTTCCAGGTCCCCACGCCATGACAATTCAAGAGTTGGTGGACTATGTTAATACCAGGCAAAAGCGGGGGATATATGAGGAGTATGAAGACATCCGTCGTGAGAACCCTGTTGGCACTTTCCACTGTTCCATGTAAGTAGGAAAGGTTTGGGCTAAGGATCAATTGCCAAGATGCTTCTAGCTGGCACTGGCAGTAGCTCCTTCCACATCTCACTTCTTAACGGAGGCTCTTCCCTATGTTAAGGAGGAGCATTCTCACTTAGATGATGGTGTTTCTCTTCCTGAAAGAAGTACCGTCTTTTTTGGTGCATGTGTCAGCATCTAATGCTCTAAAATTTCTAAAGACTTTTGGTACCAACAGAGGAACCCTGTAAAAATGAACACATTTTTTAGGTATTTCCTGAAACAAAAAGTGTGTGTATATTTGTTGTTGGGTTTTGTTTGTTGTTGTTTTTTGGTAGGTTTAAAATAGACTGTTCTCCATTTCCATTCTTGTGTGCAGAGCTTTGGTCTCATTATTTGGCCAGTCTCTCCCTGGAGCATTATAGTGTATGAAACATTACAGTTTGTGGAGAAGTATTGGTACATTTAAAATAATCAACAGTTTGTAAGATAAAAGAGTTGCCTCTTAGGAATTTTTCCTCTTGGGGTTTTCTTTCTACCCAACTCCTACCACAAAACCATCTGGCTGGTTTGTAACTCTAGTTCATAACTACCGGTACCACTTATAGACAACAGACCATAAATAATTTCTCTTCCTTTATTGCTGTCAAGTTTTAATTGGCTGCAACAGGGATCTCTCTCCAACTAGTAGACTCTGTGTTGAAGAGATGATTACAGAAGCTATTCCAGTGAATCCCAGGCTCAAGTTCCAGCTCAGACAAAATTCCTCTCTGTAATCTCTACACATTATTTCTCATCTTTGCACCTTAATTTTCTCACATGTAACATGTTGGACTCTGTTATTCACCTACATTTGTAAGTTAAATGTTTTAGGAATCCATGATTCTATGAGTACCTCGTCCTGTATAATTCTTGTCCAGTTTATTCAGACTGCTTTAAAAAGGATGCAGGGAAGGTCCTCTTAGCAAAAGGAAAGAACAGGGAAATAATGAGTTAGGAAACTGAGATAAAGGAAATAAGGGAGAAGAAGCAATTGAGGAAGAAGTCGATAAACAAAGAAAACAAGAGAAGAAAAAGGGAAAACAGAGCATTATTGAGAGGAAGGAATATTTTTTTCTGCCATACTAATTTGTTGTTGTTGTTGTTGTTAGGTGCCACTGTGTCGGTACCGACTCATAGCAACCTTATGCACAGCAGAATGAAATACTGCCCGATGCTGGGCCAACCTCACTATTGTCATGCTTGAGCCCATTGATGCTGCCACTTTGCCAATCCATCTCGCTGGGGGTCTTCCTCTTTTCCCCTGACCCTCCACCGTACCAAACATGATATCCTTCTCCTGCGACTGGTCCCTCCTGACAATATGTCTGAAGTATGAGGTGAAGTTTGGCCATCCTGGCCTTCTTCCAACACAGATCTGTTGGTTCTTTGGCAGCCCATGGCACTTTCAATATTCTCCTTCAACACCATAACTCAAAAGCATCAACTCTTCTACGGCCTTCCTTATTCGCTGTCCAACTTTAAGATCCCAATATAAATCCTATTTGTCCTAACCAGAGCAGATTTTCCTCCTATAGTCTTAAAGGAGTCCTGCTGGCACATTGGTTAGGAACTTGGCTGCAAACCAGAAGATTGGTGGTTGGAGCTAAGCAGCTGCTTTACAGGAGAAGATGCAGCAGGCTGCTACTGTAAAGATTTGAAGCCTTGGAAACCCCATGGGTTAGTTCTGTTCTCTCTTAGACGGTCACTTTTCAGTCAGAACTGATTCAACAGTAACAGGTTTTCAGTCTTAAATCAAGGACGTTCTATGAAATGGAGGACTGCTGGGCTGCTCCAAGGGAGACACAAGTGTCCTGGGGATTCTTGATTGAATTCTGGGTGCTTTTACAATTACCTCCTGCTGTGACATCCTTGAGATGTCATTTCTACCACGATCCTTCTCCTCCCGCCATGAAAAAGGTGGATTTGAATTAACCTTTTGGCATCACCCACACTACCTGTTATATTACAGTCAGAGAGCACATCCTTCCAAATGCTTCCTGCTTATGAAATGAACAAACTTCCCCTCTACTTTGGAGTTAGAACCCAGATAGTCATCAGCTCTAGGCCTTTGTTGTTCACCAAGTCCTAGTAGAAGTACTTGCACAGAATAGACTTACTATGTCTCCCTTGGAATTCTGGGTTATGAAGTAGATACCAAAGTATTCCTTACTGTTCAGGGTTCCAAGGGACCAAGAATTTTCTTTCCTCTTTATATTTGTCTTCCCCCATACTACTAAAAGGAAACAGAGATTTTGTTTGTTTTTGTATTGAACTTTTAATTTTGAGATCATTGTAGGTTCATGTGCATTTTTAAGAACTAGAGGGCTTCCCATACACCTTTTCTGCAGTTTTTTTCCAATAGTAGCAGCTTTCAAAACTATAGTACAGTATCACAAACAAACATTGACATTGATAACAATCCATTGATCTTACTCAGATCTCCCCAGTTTTGATTTGTGTTTATATATTTTGTTGTTATTGTTAAGTGCCATTGAGTCAGTTCCTACCCACAGCGACTCTGTATAGGGTTTCCGAGGAGCGGTTAGTGAGGTTGAACCACCGACCTTGCCATTCAAACTGACTTTGCAGTCCAGCATATTAACCCACAGCTGCACACCATTAGTTCATTACAATTTTATCAAAGTAGAGTTGACTATGATGATACCAGTGGAATAAAACTTTTGAGACCTTTATTTCTGGTAGGGCACAAAGTAAAATGAGGAGAAACAGCTATAAACATCCATTAATAATCGGAACATGGAAGTTTGAAGTATGAATCTGGGAAAATTGAAAGTAAAAAATGAAACGGAATAAAGATTGATATATTAGGCATTAGTGAGCTGAAATAGACTGATTAGTCACTGTTTTGAGTCTGACAGTCCTAACGCTTACTATGCCAGAAATGACACATTGAAGAGGATTGGTGTCACATTTATCATCAAAAAGAACATTTCAACTCAGAGCAAGCCCCCTTCCAAGACTGAGACTCAAGGGGAATACATGAGCAGGCATGTGGTCACCAATAAGGGGAAGAGGGGAACAAAACATCAAGGAAGCTGCGAGCTAAGCCCGACCCTATTCCATAGACCCCTGTGAACCCCGGGTGGAGACCTGAATGGCCAGCAGTATGGTAAGACCTGGGGACTCCTGGGCCCAGAGGCAGTGACATGGCCACAGAGGACTAGAGTGGAGAGTGAAGTGTCCAGCTGATATGAAGTGAGGGCAAATGCACAAGAACACCCATACTTGTAGATAGTACCCACTTGACCTGGCTTTGATGGCTGGATGATCAGAACTTGACTAGAAGAAGAAAGAAGACGGGGTGGGAAAGAGTAACCTGCTACGATTTGATGAACTTTACCTATACTTATGGATGTGGTAGCTCAAAAAGGGGAGCAGATCTTTACAGCAAGGATCACTCCCACCCCCTCAGTATACAGGGCTGACAGGGATCGGCAACTTAGACATTGGCTACCCCAAATGGGGAGGGGGGGGGCCTCTAAAGGCAAGAAGTGACTGGCTTACAAGCTTTCAAGAGGGAGTCTAGTTCCAGATGGGGTGGGGGAAGGTAGAATTACCACTGAATGATTTCCATCTATTGGGACTGGGCTGGCAAAAGGAATTGGGGATAAGACTCTTGTGGTACAATAGTGAATAATTGCCATCAGGACTGACTGTGAGGGTAGAAAATATAGAGGTAGATGTTTTTTGACAAAAGGAGGAGAGTGATTGATTTTGCAGCCCAGGAGCAGAGGTCCCTGGGACCATCAAGTGAGAAGAACGGAGAGTGGGACCCTACCCAGAGAAGCAGTGATGCCAGGGATGGAGACAGAGATGATGACGTGGACACATGGAGCGGCTGGGGACACTGGACTCAGGAAGGGAGAAGGGCCGTGTACTGGAGGCCAGTGGGCAGGCCTGTGTGGTGTACCCTTTGGTTATTTGATGATGCTTGGAGGGGATTGTAATCATTGCAGTGAAACGAAATACTATAGGAAGAGTGTGAAACTGATGTTCTTCCATGTAAACCTCACAATAAAAACTTAAAAAAGAAAAAAAGAACATTTCAAGATCAATCTTGAAATACAGCCCTGTTTGTGATAGGGTAATATCCATACACCTACAAAAAAGACCAGTTAATACCACTGTTACTCAAAATTTATGCATCAACTACTAAGGTCAGTAATGATGAGATTGAATTATTTTATCATCTTATTCAGTCTGAAATTCATCCAACATACAATCAAGATGTATTGGTAATTACTGGGGATTTGGGATGCAAAAGTTGGAAACAAAGAATAAGGATCAGTAGTTGGAAAATATAGCCTTGGTGATAGAAATGATGCCAAAGATTGCATGATAGAATTGTGCAAGACCAGTGACTAACACTGCAAATTCCTTTTTTAAACAGCATGAAACATGACTAACACATGAACCTTACCAGATGAACTACAAAAAAAATCAAATTTGCCACATTGTTGAAAAGAGTCTGTGGAAAAGCTCTGTATCATCAGCCAAAACTAGGCCAGGGGCAGATTGTGAAACACAGTATCAATTGCTCATATGCCAGTTCAGGCTGAAGCTGAAGAAAATTAAAACAAGTCCATGAGAGCACAAAAATGACCTTGAAAATATCCCACCTAAGATTAGAGACCGTCTTAGGAACAGATTGAATGCATTAGACTCTAATGACGTAGACCAGAAGAGTTGAAGGATGACAGGAAGAAAGAAAAAGGTCACTAAGACATGAAAGAAAGAAAAGACCAAAATGGATGTCAGAAGCGACTCTGAGACTTGCTCTCCATTGTAGCGATGCTAAAGTGAATAGAAGACATGATGAAGTAAAAGAGCTGAGCAGAACATTTCAAAGGGCAGCTTGAGAAGACAAAATCAAGGATTATAATGATATGTGCAAAGACCTGGAGTTAGAAAACCAAAAGTGAAGAACATGCTCATAATTTCTCCAG